GAGCAGAGAAATCAGTATAGCTGTGAGCTTATCATAAACAAGATTTCAATTTTTACTCTTTTATCAATGCTTGGAGATTGAAACATCTTGAAATCATGAATACTGCATGCAGTGATAAATTAACATGAAGATTTTAAATGGATATAGTCAGCAAGAGTTTATAAAATATAATTTGTAAAGGCTTGGGATAAGATACCCTTTTTTTTAAGCTCATGAGAAGCCATAAACAAAGAGTATGAAAAGAAAGGATGTGGCTGAAAAAGTCCTCAAGCATGAGACAAAAGTGCAGCAATAATCCATCAACTTGAAGACTATGCTTAATTAAATTAAGGAAAAGAAGGGTAATTGAATTTTTTATTAGGATTAAATAAATCCATTTGAATTCAATCTTCTCTTTTAGAATTAACTATTCTTCAAATTCAATCTTTTTCTTCTCTGTTTGAATATTTGTTTTTTTCAAATTGCTTCTTCAGCAAGTATACTTGGAATGATCAACTCTAACTAGTACTAAACAATGGCTAAAATGTATAAAAATCCTGCTCAACTTTTAGTCCTTCTGTCCCAGAAATCACACTCCATTTCTCAAGATTCAAAAAAGGCTCCAATGGGATGGCACCATAGCTCTAGCTACGAAATCTATCATTCTCTACTCTCCATTTTGCGGATAAAACGTAATTGTTTCTGTAATTCTGTTTCTTTTACCATTAAATTTCAAAGTACAAATAAAACCCATTTAATGTGTTCATCTTAAAATTCAGTTTGAAGCTTCCCCACCGAGATATGTACCACCTTGTAATACTTTGAATTATCTTTATGCTGATGGCTGGGAAGCTAGTTTCCCCTTTGTAATAGCTGATTTTATGCAATAAAAGAAACCCTCATGCCCATCAATAGTTTCTCAAAAGTTCTGCTCAACTAAGATTTGGTATAGAAAATCAAAGTTAGCCAGCACAAAACTGATCATCTGATTGCAAGAGTCCAGCAGGCGACAATTGTATACCTTGATTTTTATTATCTATGAGATTAATCACCTCCACATTTATACAATTACAAAGGATCTAGCATTACATAATTTACAAACACTAATATTTCAATTTCAAACCAAAACAAAGAGCACAAAGGGCTAACTTAGACGCCTCTTCATTTTAATGACTTTCCTTTCTAAATGCAACTTTCTATACAAAGAAACAAAATGCTCAATGCTTGACTAAGCAGATGGTTACTGAATCAGAGCCTAAACAAAATGAGAGAAATGGTTCAAAGCGTGTTAGAAATACAATGGTCGTCCCCAAACAATGGCAGTCTCCGCTTGGCAACCTTGGACCTGTAACACCACACCTCAAATGCCTCAGTTAGATCTGGATACCGTACATACTCATTTCCTAACCATTCAGTCAAAATCTCAGCTTGGTCCGCAGATGGCAATGCAAGAATTATGGAAACAAATGTTGATTCCAATGACTGCCATAGTTCACCATCTAACTTAAATGCCAAAGAATCCTCATCATTAGTCGTGACAGAATCAATCAAAGGTTTTGTAACCCGCACAAATGGAAGCCATACTTTCACCATGTGAATTCGTTTAGCGGTTGGCAAAATAACAGTGCCATACCCTATTGACTCCAAAACTTTTGCCACAACCTCGACAACCTTAAGTTTTGTCTCAATTATTTCCACTGCTGGACTCAGTTGCATGACCTTTACAATTTTGTCAGATGCATCCACCCAACTCTTAACGAATTCCCTCATAATTTCCAACTTTGCCAACAACTGACAAGCCCACAAAAAA